ACACTTAAAAGAAACAAACCACACAATTGAAGATGAACAAGTAAAAATCCTAGGAACAGAAAAGAGATGGTTTGAAAGGGGAGTAAAGGAAGCGATTTTTGTTAAAAAATGTTCACCCTCTCTGAACCGTGAAGGAGGTATCAGATTTAACCTGTCTCCTATTTACAATAACTTGTTGACCACCAAGGGACAAAGACAGGCTGATCAGGCTCACGGAAAGTAGCTATTCAGCCCTAGCCCAAACAATCGGCCTAATCAAGACCCAACGATAGGGAATTTAGAAATCAATGGTCACATAGGGGCGTGACTAACCATCCCCACCCAGTCCTCAAATAGGCCACGCTCAGCTTTTTAGCGCAGAGCAATTTCCCGGAGTCTTCACGGAGACTTCAGAGTTGTCTACCGCTGGCGAAGCTTCTGTGAGAGAAGCGAAACGTCCTTTTTTGTTTTTTGTTTTTTACCCACAGGTACAGGTGACGACTGACGGAACCCTTTCTACGATCAACCAGCCACAGAAAATCTGTGCAAGATTACTGGAGGGAATACACCAGCCATTCGTTGAACATTAGATATGGTGGGTGAAATGTGGTTTTCGTTCAGGTCGTGTAAACTACACTTGGGATGTAACAACAACGCTCATTGCCACCATTTCGTTGATCTCATGTTACGATATTAAAACAGTCCATCTTCGTCCAAAAAAAAAAAAAAAAAAAAAAAACAGCTACTTGTTGTCTGCTTCAGCCAAACTACGTAGACCATGATGCTTTGCGCCGCCCAGCCAATAGGAACACACCCTGCACACCATATACACAGAAATTCAAAATGGTGGAGAGCGGCAAATTTACTGTCACTTAGCACAGGCATCCCCAACCGCCGGTCCGCGGACCGGTACCGGTCCGCCGGGCATTTGGTACCGGGCCGCACAGAAAGAACTTGCCTTAATTCCGTTTTATTTCGGAATACGAAAGATGTTTTATTTTGAAAAACTACCGGATTCTCCGTTACATCCGACTATGTCACGCTTGACACACGTCAAGCCACGCTTCTCCATCACGTGACCGATTACTTCAAAACAAAACGCAGGAGCTCGCAAAATGAGTAAAAAAAACTGCTGGAGATCGCAAATGACGGAAGCCTTAAAAGTACGTTCGAGACAACTGGATTAAAGTTATGGCTGAATACTCTGAGATTGCCACAATAGCACTGTTGCTATTTCCGACATCCTACCTGTGTGAGGCTGGGGGGTTTTTGCAGCAACGGCGACGAAAGCAAAATTACAAAGTAGACTGGACATAAACCACACACTTTAGGTGTCATTGTCTCCTATTACCCCGAGATGGGTCCGTCTGGTTGCAGAAAATCAAGCTCGGTGCTGTGGTGAGTCGTCATTTTCATGCACTTTGAATTTGCGTTGTATTGTATTTTGAAGGCATTAAACATTACCATAGACAATACCAGAGTATTGCGGCCAGATTCGACGCTCCTTGTGTTTATTATTATATTTCGAAAACACCACCGTTTTCATGCAGCTCATACCATATTATTTTGTTGTATTATTTCCGCCACACCTTAAATGCCGGTCCCTGAAAATATTGTCTGACATAAACCGGTCTGTGGGGCAAAAAAGGTTGGGGACCCCTGATTTAGCAGATTGAAATTGCAAATGCCGACAAAACATGCCCTGGAGGACATTCTGGGTTGTACTTTAGACAATACAGACACCGTAAACTACAAGCAGAGCTGGATTTTTTGGGGGTAAAAAAAACTCGTGGTTTCTCTGTCATCATGTTCTCTGAAGTAGGAGAGGCATCATGCAGGGAAGTAGCCTCTTCTGTCTTCAACAAAGACATATCTGTGCATCCCAACTACCTCAGTGCCCAGGGTATTGTAAACAGAAGGGGTTATTGTAAATGCCAAGAGGTCTCTTCTCCTCTCGTAATGTTGAAATGGTCGATTAGTGTTTACACTTGATATTTTTATTTAGGTTTATCTTGCTCCCTTATTTGATTTGACTTGTTTGCGAGATTGTTCCAGCAGATTTATTTTGTATTTGCTGTGCACGTTTATATTTATGCGCCAGTTGTGTTTGAACCGACATGAACTTGTTTTGCAAGTGACATGATGTTCCCAATAGATTTACAGTCGAACGTTTCACTGAAAAAGGAACATCTGTTTTAGGCAGCAATTACCGGTTGGTGTATTGTTCCTGTCTTAACTTGAATTTTGCCCTTTTGAATTACCAAGTTCTGTAGCCATGATTAAAAAAAAAAAGCCAAATAAGTGATTGGTCAAGCATGTTTCTTTGTCACTGCTTTTTTTTCTGTACAAAAACACAACATATTTTTACCCCCATATTGTCAGCTTTTTTTAAAGCATACAATGATTTTAGACAGTATTGTGACCTTGTTTTTTTTTGTTGTTTTTGTGGGGTTTTTTTTATATTAGCTCACACTTCACCACAATATTGCGCTTTCTATCGCATCGAGAGGTTCATATCATGCTAATTTGGGTATCATTACATCCCGAGACTACATCCTGGACAGGGTATTGTAGGGTGCATCGGAGTTTGCCTATCCAAAGGCATTCAGAGACATCAATGTTGGACTCCACGAAGTCTAACCTTGTTCTTCTCATTATAGACAAGATTCCTGAGTGCAGCCAAGGTTCAGGGGAGCGGGCCAATGGCTTCAGTGAAGCGTGAGTTTCATCATTACTCAGGTGGTTATTAACTGAAATGTGCTTCCCCTACAAGAGGAAGAGGAAGATATAGGGGAAGGAGAGGCACTCAGACTAATGTCGCTGCTCCTCCAAATTGACAGGAGTTAGTTAAAATGATTTATGGATACATCTCCAGTGAAGTGTTTATGCATGGACAACCAAGAGGAGGCCTGATAGCACACTTAGCACATGCTAGACTATAGTCTAGCATGTGCTAAGTGTGCTATCAGGCCTCTTACAGCTAGCTCAAGTTTTCCTAGGTGGAGATGGAGGGCATTGCCAGAGGTTTGAGGCTTCCTGAGTAAGACTGCAGGTCCCTTGGACCTTGGGCAAGCGAAAGAACTTAAATGAGGGATGGCAATCTTTTTAAGTAGAATTGTGCCCTTTCAAGGATACACAAAAGCGAAGTTTGCCTGTTTGTCTTTATGTAGTTGTACAAATTATTCAAAAAAAAAAAAACCTGACCTTACAGACAAGGCAAAACAGCCTGGCCCCTCATTGCTGTTTCTTAGGAGGTAAGTCCCATCACTTCCATTAGACAAGAGGAGAGCTTCAGCAGCATGGCGGGACAGATCATTGTGGTACCATCTACAATAAAAAGATAAGTTAGAGGTCCATGAAGCGATATGACAGATTGTACACAAGGCTCAAAAATAAAATATTTCTTTTGCGTGGCAGTTTTGCTAATCAATTACAGTACTTCATTTGAGTAGCTGGTTCCTAGGTTTGAGGCACTTTTTTTTTAATCACCAAGGACTTGAAGCAAGAGTTTTATTGAACAATAAAAATATGATGCTATATCAAATGAACAGTTGGTTTTCTTTTTTTTTTTTTTACGATACCAACAGTTTTTATTTCTCTAAATCACTGTTTGGAGGAGAAAACTGTATTTTCTTGTCTAGAAACATTTTCAGTGGGTCAATTACAAAGACAAATACAACACTTCTATTTAAACATTGTGCTTCTGAATAGGTTTCATTGTGTTTTAGTAAAGCTCCATTGATTTAAAAAAATGTAATTATGTACTATTATTGTAATTATGCACTACTATTATGTAATTCTGAGGACATTTGTTCTGTAGACCTCAGTGGTACCTCTACTTACGAACGTCTCTTCATACGAAATTTTCAAGTTACGAAACGCCTCAACTGGAAAATATTGCCTCTTGTTACGAATGAAATTTCAAGATACGAAAGGTAAAAAATACGGTATGGGTTGCTCCTCGCAGCTCCGAGTTTCCTGAACGCAACATACTTGTAGCTGTTCTGCCATTGGCTATTACCGCGCATCTTCCTGGCATCCCATTGGCTTATGAGGCACCTCAACTGTACGTGTCTATGTGTGAAGACAGATCGATGTGTTCCGATAGTTTTACGTAAATGTGAATCACCCAGAAAAAGTGTTCACCAGTCTGGCGATAGCTCACGATGCTGATAGTTGCCTTGGACATTTTCGAAGGATTGTTAAAAGCCGACAAGCAAACGTCCTTTGATCAGTTCCTGACAAAACGCCAGGCAAAAACCAACTCTGAGAGAGAAGATTAACTAAAGAGGGCAAAAAACAATGACGACGCAGTTAAAAGTGAAATGACCATCACTTTTATTCTTGACTCTATTGAGTACGCTTCTTGGCAAAAAGTTAATTTAAAACCATATTTGCATGTTTCAGCTGCTGTCAGGCCAAACCGCCTAACATCTGGGGCCAAAGACTAGGAAATCGATGGCTTCATCTGGCTCCTGTTAAGATATGATTCCTCTTTGTCAGCTGGATTTGAAAGAAACAACGTAGAATGCTGTTGAAGGTATTTCCTGCTTACTGTGATTACAATCACCTTTGGTACCCCCTCACCCCCACTACTTTTATGACCCCTCCAGAGGACATGTCAACATCAAAAGAGGAACTGTTATCTCAAGTATCTGTGTTGCAGCTATTGCTATGAGTACTATTGATCTCAGTCTCTTTCCTGAACATCTGTTTGCACACTTAAAACAACGTATGTAGTGTTAAAGTTTATCTTCTTCCTCCTTGGTTGATTAACGGCCCCCCAAGTGTCTCTTCTGTTGTCCCCCCGCACCTTGGGTCGGTCCCTGATCGCTGTTAAGCCCCCCTGGGGAGACCTCTTATCTCAGGATGTGTGCACAGCGGGGGTTCTGGAACTTGCCATCACACCAAATGGTGGGTAGTGGTGGTTTGGTCTCACCTCGCCACTCCCAACTTCTTCCAGCCACACCCGGTCAGATGTCATGTTACTTTCTTTGTTTCCGGGATTTGCATGAGAGGCGTACCTAACCGCCTCTCATTATCATATTGTCTCTATATAATCTCATGACTGTGTTTCTTCTACGCTTCCTGATTCAAATCTGGACCCCTCAGGAGCCCGAATCGATTCGTAAACTGCAGAAAATAAATTAAAACCCTTCGAAGGAACTGTACATCGCCTCCAGACTTTATTTGGATTAACAACATTCTCCTCGTCCGAAATTCAACGAACACTCCGGGAAGAGGAGGCCGCTCTGACCCCAACACTCCCGATCGGGATGGTGACAGGAAGGAGAGGATGAGAGGAAAAGAGGACATGGAGAGCACAACAATTTGATGGATGGAAAAATGCCATTGAAGAACAAGCTGCATCCCAGTTTGGACTCTTGTTAAATAAAGAAAAGTGCAGCGTTCCAGTTTATGTGCAGTTATATGTGAGGTTCACAAATTATGAAAATAAACATATTTTTATAACAGTCGTTTTTGAGGCTTTTTTTTTGTGTGGGTCGAATAAGGAAAGTATAAATACTGTTTACATATTTTAAACATGCTGGTACCTGTGATGTTTCTTGTTTGAAATAACATTAATGATCACACAGATAACGACATGTAACTGGTCTGTTTTCAACTGCTGGTCGTTTCAGATCTTGACCAACAGAGGATGCTAACATACTGTGGAACAGCTGTGAAATCCTAGTTCATATTTAACTGTATGCAAACATTGCCTTGACGTAAAAACACAAAAAATCCCGAGGGAGGGGGCAAAACCTACTTTGCCGTTTTTTTCACCATTCGCAGGGGGGGGGGGGGGGGGTCCGGTACCAATCAACTGCGAAAAATGAGGGATTACTGAATGTACAGTATATATTATCAAATAAATCTACTGAGTAAAGCTCAGCAAAACTTTGCTTTTCACTTTGATTTGTTCCTGCTTCATAATGATGGTCAATGTTTGGCTTGTTTGTGAATTTTATTTCATGAAATTCTGACTCGATGCTATGATAAAGAATGAAAGAAGCATGCACGGCCACCCCTTCACTGAGCCACCCAGGTGAAAATTTTCTGAATGCACCCCTGGATGACTTACGCTTGTGCTGGCTCTGGAAATAACTTGATTCACCATACTGAAGAGTAATGTGAATATTACTTGACAGTAGTGGTAAATACTTTATTTTTTTTTCAGACATCCAGACAAGCTCGCTATCAAACCAAATTAGTAATAGTAATGGTAGTTACCGAGATGTAGGTGTCGCAGCGCAAAAATTAGGGGGTGTTGATAAAGTAGGAGCACCAAATAAACACACACACACACACACACACAAACACACACAGTATATTGAAGGGATTTTCATTCACAGTATAGGCTTTCATATTGCTGTATTGCCGTTTTTCATACATTCACAAAATACTTGCTGTTGTGTCAGTACTGCTTTTCATGGTTATAGATGATTCGTGTGAAGGTTTGGAATGTGTGACCGCAAATAATGATGTTTTGCTGAGTGTAAATGAAAGACTGTTTGCATTTGGGTGTGATTGAGGAAGAGGTGAGTGCCAAGGTGCCATGAGCAAGGGGGCACCCCGGCCAGACCACTGGACCGGAGATCACAATCGGCACTTAAAAGGGCCTCCATAGCAGGACAACCGCTTCCAACAACAAAAGACGGCCAAAGGTGGAAGACCATATCCACATCAAATGAAGATTCACAATAGAATGACAATTCACACCAAATCTGACAGATTCAGTTGACAACACCCGGACTGTCCTCTCAGACAATTTGTCCATGCCTGAAAACACACACACACACACACACACACACACACACACACACACTCACACACACACACACACACACACACACACACACACACACACACACACACACACACACACACACACACACACACACACACGCGTCTTTGTCACTTTGCCTCACTACCCTCGTGGTTAGGAGAAGTTGATGACCCAGAGCTCTGTTTAGATTCTAACAAACACACAAACACATACTGTACACGCCATGATGAGCAACAGCCTGACACGGAGGCATGCAACGTACTTTTGCAGTCTGTTAACTATTGTAGCTCACACGTACCATTTTAAAGTGCTTCCCCTCGACCCTCTAGATTCCTATTCTTTGCCCGTGCACTCGGTGAATTGTACACACAACAAACTCTGAAAGAGAATAATGATAACGATAAAAGATATAGCGCAACAGCTCTGATCACAAGCTGCAATTGCAGACTGCTGAGCGTTAACAACTTCCGGTGACGCGGGTCACGCACCACCGTAAGTTAAAGATTTACCTGCTTTATTTTATTTTTTAAATACTTTTTGTGAAAATTAGACTGATGGGATGATTAGGGTCCAGTGTATATTAACACAAAAACTATATGACTAACAAGCACAAAGACACACAAATGGTTGTTTTTTTACTCCTCTACATCCCTCGAGATCGACTTAGGACCAGTCTGCGATCTACTGGTCAATCTCGATCAATGTAATCGGCACCCCTGGGTCAAATAGTGAGAAACCTAAAAATCCTGACACACACACACACACACACACACACACACACACACACACACACAAACACACATGTACATATGCTGTGCAGGCCAATAAAAATACATTTGGCATTGCAACAACCATTTCAAGCAGACCATCCAGTGAGCTAACATTTTGACAAAAGAAAATGTCAGTGTCACTGACTTCGAAGAGATAAGGAGCCAATTATGCTTTTGTGTGATGGCTCGAGTGTAAAACGATCCCAGGCAGTCTTACCCTAAATCTACGAGCTCATCATGCAGATCCTCAGCAGACGCTTGAACGAAAAAACTCATCTTGCCAAGAGGATCCATTCACTGCAACAATTGTTGGCTCATTGCCTCCTATTTGAAACAAGGAGCAAGGCAGAAGTGAAAGCGGACAGAGAGGCACGCCTAACAGGAAATACATTTTCAGTCTTGAGTCTACCCAGATGTGAAACAAAACAGCTCAATGTGTCCATCTATTCACAGCATGCAGACCTTGACTGAACTCATTTGCTGGACATTTCCCTTCAGCCTGATGAAGGAGAATCATTCTTGGATTTGTGCAGAAACTGCACAATGCAGTAATACAGCACTGTAGTCATGTCTGACTTTGAAAAACCTTTTCAAATTCTATTGGTGCTAATTTGCTTGTTATTTCAACACACTGATTGTAAAGAAAAAAATCACGAGTCATGACATTCAGCTATGTACTGACTGCCATTAAAATGTCAGTTTCAGGAGCAAGCAGGTAAGTAAGGGATCCAACAAACATGGACAAGGGTAAAGTTATGAGAAGACATTTATTTACTGAAAAAAAAGTAAGAGGGCGGCCCGATAGTCGAGTGGTTGGCGCGTCAACTTCACAGTGCAGAGGTATCGGGTTCAATTCCAGCTCCGGCCTTCCTTTGTGGAGTTTGCATGTTGTCCCCGTGTTTGCTTGCGTGGGTTTTCTCTGGGTCCTCCGGTTTCCTCCAACATTCCAAAAACATGCATGGCAGGCTGATTGAACACTCCAAATTGTCCCTAGGTGTGAGTGTGAACGCGAATGGTTATTCGTTTCTGTGTGCCCTGCAATTGGCTGGCAGCCGGTTCAGGGTGTCCCCAGCCTACTGCCCAAAGACAGCTGGGATACACTCCAGCACCCCCCCCCCCCGTGACCCCCGTGAGGATCAAGCGGTTCAGAAAATGAATGAATGAATGAAAAAAAGCAAAACCGACAAAAAAGTCACTGGCAACAAATCGCCAGGAAAAACGAAATAAGATAAATCGTTCGCAACTGCCAAGGTAATAAAGAAGCGGAAAATCATTCTCAATAAAATGGAGGAAGGAATCCAATTGTATGAACGAAACGAGAATGAACAACAATATGACGGAAAATGATACTTACACATGAAATCAAAAAGTACACAGACTAGCATCATCAAAAAGTTAAGACTTCCACTTGAGGGTAAATTTGACATTGTTGGGCTTGATACTGGTGAGATTTTATCATAAACAACTTTTTATGTATTAAGTATTGTTTGTGGGTTGTTTTTTTTTTTGTTGTTTTTTTTTTTGCAATTATTGACATTGTGATGTGTGTGTCTTTGTGTGTGAATAAAAGATTTTATTTTACAGATTGGACAGAAATTTATTTTGTGGAGGGGTGGCTTGCTGTGTCCAAAATCATATTTTCGTTCAAGTTGTCATGATCTTGTTCTTGTGTCTCCAGCAGGTGGCAGTCTAGGGCCTCGCTTCAGTGGGCACACCTGCTGCCAATGTTCTAATCCAGAGGTCCGCAACCTTTTTTGCCACACGGACCGGTTTCATGTCAGACAGGGGCCGGTCTTGAATGCCGGATAGATACAACAATTTAATATGATATGACCTGCATAAAAAGTGTGGTATTTTCGAAACATAATAATAAATCATGACACGAGGAATGTCCTTTCTGGCCGCAACATTCTCTGGTCGCTATAGTAACGTTTAAACCTGCCTTCATAATAAGATACGTCACAAATAAAAAGTGCATGAAAAATACAACTCACCATCGCCGCTTATTATGCAGAGTCGGCTTGGTGCGTGTGAATGTCCTGTTGAGATAAAGCCGTATTTAAATAGTACTCCTGATACTGTCTTTTAAATGTAGCCTTCTCTTTCGTGAAAGTCGTAGACTCCTCTTCTGTCTCCTTGGCTTGGCCTTTTCCCCTTCCCGAAAAAAACTTTCAAAGACATTTGTTTTTTTATGCGGTAACCTATCACATGACCGAGAAACGCGCATTCACCTGTGTCAAGATTGACATCCTGGAGACTGATATGAATGAATTAATGAATGAATGAATCCTTTATTGTCATTTCACACTTGTTACGAGATTTTGCAGGACCCTCCACCCCCTAAGTGTATCATAAAATATATAAATACATTGCACTCCCCGAGACATCCACACCATCACATACACACACACACACGTTTAAAAAGTGAGATTCAACGTTAGTCAGTGATATCATGAGGAAAAGTAAATTGCACTCCCATAAGCCTACACATTGACATACACACGATTTAAGAATTGACATTCAACAGCCCGACTGCCCAGGGATAGAAAGCGTTTCTGTGTCTGTTGGTCCGGCTTCTCATGACTCTATATTTCCTGCCCGAGGGCAGAAGATTGAGAAGGCACCTGCCAGGGTGGGATGGATCAGTCAAGATTTTCTTTGCCCTTTGTAGCCCCCTTAAGTTCGCGATGTCATCTAGGGATGGCAGGGGGCAGCCGATGACTTTTTGTGCCGCCTGTATGACTCCTTGCAGCGCATTTCTGTCCTTGGCCGTGCAGCCGGCATAACACACTGTGATGCCGTACGCCAATACGCTCTCCACCGTGGAGCGGTAGAATGTGTGTTGCAGGTGTGCCCCCGTCTGGCATTTGTTCAGCAATCTTAAGAAGTGCAGCCTCTGTTGCGCTTTCCCGACCAAAGCATCCGTGTTGGTGTGCCATTTGAGGTCATCCGCTACATGCACACCCAGGAACTTAATCGTCGAGACCTTTTCCACACAGACACCGCCTATCTGTAGTGGGGAGGGGTCTGCTCTCTTCCTCCTTCAGTCCATCACCATCTCCTTTGTTTTGCTTGTGTTCAGTAGCAAGTTGTTTGATGAACACCAGCCTACGAGTCTCTGTGCCTCCTCCCTGTATGCCGTCTCATTGCCATCGGAAATGAGACCCAACAATGTAGTGTCATCGGCGAATTTCATGATGACATTGGAGTCATACATGGGGGTACAGTCATGTGTGTACAACGTAAACAGGAAGGGGCTCATCACACAGCCCTGGGCCAAGCCGGTGCTGAGTGTCAGTGTGGAGGATGTGTGGGGCCCCACCCTCACAGTCTGTGGTCGATCTGTCAGAACGCTTCCGATCCATTTGCAGGTGGGGGATGGGTAGTCCAGGTCCTACAACTTTGTGATGAGAATGTCCGTCAGGATAGTATTGAATGCTGAACTAAAATCCACAAAAAGCACCCTGACATAGCTTCTTTGCTTCTCTCCATGGCTCGCGGCAGCATGAACAAAGGTGGAGATGGCATCAGCCGTTGATCTATTTTGTCAGGTAATTTTTCAAAATAAAATATCTTTCAGATTCCGAAGTGAATAAAACGGAAGGAATGTAAGTTATTCCTTCTGCTGGGATGAGAGTGGCTAGTGATGAAAAAATCTGAAAATCAGCCCAGGGTCTGGGGGCCGCAGGAATCCAGGGGCAACGCCCCAGATGGGGGCCCAGGAGGCAAAGCCCCGGGAAGCTAATGGGTTTTAGAGTTTTTAAAGCCTGAAAACCATTAATTTTATAAACCAAATTTTACAATTTTTGTTGAAATACCATTCCCTATTTGCTTACAAAATTGGCACTTTATACTAAACATGCTAAAGATGAAGTGTATTCAACGTACACACTACTTGAAACTTTCACAGATAAAAAAATCCCAAGATTGTTCACTATTCTTTTTAGTGAAAATTTGACATTGGCCTTTGTGCAATTTTGCTTATGCATTCCTGGTGAGCACCAAAATGTAACTTCAAATTTGCTGTTCAGAATCAAAAAACTAAAAAAGGAAACACATTCCCTGCCATATTTAAGATTTGTTCATTACTTGCATTCATAAAATGTTGTGTAAATGTGATAAAAGGCTGTTGATTCTTACCTCATACAGTGATAGTGAAGTCCCAAACTGTTCACTATATATGGGTTTTGAATGCATTTTCCATATAGTACAGGGATGGCCAACCCGGGGCTCGCGAGCCGCATGCGGCTCTTTGGCTGGTTCCATGCGGCTCCCGGGCTTTCACATGACAAGCGTCGAGTGCAGGGCCACCGTCGAGGCATTGCATTCAAACGGCGCGAAGTACAGCGGAACTCACGATGTCAGCCTATCATCAATCCCGTTACTTGATTGATATAGAGGGCAACCAATCAGATGACTGCATCACCACTCATGCGCAAACAACGGCGCTAAGCTAGTCAGTGAATTATCTCTGATTTTAAGGCAGGCGTGCCCAGTACGTCGATCGCGAACGACTGGCAGCCAGCAGACTGATGACCACGAGGGGTGGGAGGAAGAAATAGAGGGAGGGAATTTATGAGTCTGTGTGTTTCGGTTTCGTTCCAGCTGTTGCTCATCGTGGCGTGTGTACATTTGTGCGTGTGTGCATGGTTGTGCACGGCACGGAAGAGTAGGTGTGGTCTCGCCAGGCTACATGGAGGTAGCTTCTCAGCACACCTTTTTGATTGACGTCAATCGCGCATGTGCGTTAGACATTTCATTGAGAAGTAAACAAATACAGAAAAGCAGGTGCAGTTTTTCAAAAAAATTGCAAAGCACTCAAGAGGCCGTGACACTTGCATCATATCAACTGGCTTACAACATTGCGCGGGCTAAAAAGCCATACAATGAAGGGGACTTTATTAAAAAATGTCTCAGTGACGCTGTTGAAATCTTGGATCCTGAAGACGACAAACTAAAAAAAATGATATCAGATGTCCAACTGTCCCGCCACACTGTTGAACGCAGAATATCGGACATTAACATGACTATTGAATCACAGTTGCATTCTGACCTTCAAGCATGTGAGTATTTTAGTGTCGCATTGGATGGGAGTTGTGACATACAAGACAAGCCTCAATTGGCAATATTTGCACGGTCTGTGTCAAACGATTGTGTGGTCAAAGAAGAACTCCTTGATATTGTGCCGTTAAAAGACAGTACCCGTGTGGGGATGGAGCGCCAGCCATGATCGGATATGTGAATGGGCTTGTGGGGCTGTGCAAAGTTGACCAAACATTTCCAGAGTTTTGGAATTTCCACTGCATCATACACAGGGAGCAGCTCGTGTCTAAATCATTAAATTTAGACAGCGTCATGAAGCCTGTGATGGAAATCGTCAACTACATCCGCACACATGCATT